TTATGGTATCACTTGATATGCTTCTGAAAAAAACGGCGTTCAAGTTGGCTGGAAAAGGACGATCGATGACATTTCCCATATAAATTTACATATAAAATGACCGTGATATTAATTTCATAGCTATCGCTAACGCCGTTTTTTCCCGATTATACAATATGAACTTGGTATGAACACAATCGAACGTCTGGAAGTGGTATCATAATAGTAGAACAATACTTATTATATTGTCGCCGAATTACAATGAAAATTCAGGATTCAATTATACAATCTAACGTCAGGAAGTGATTGTAATTTAGCTCATAAGATTTAATTCCAACTAACATGGAAACTAAAAAAACAGCTCTGATCTATTTTAATATGTTTAAATGATGTAGCAAATTTGAAGGTAGGCTTTATCAGGAAGTATTACGATATGAATTACACAATGGCAACACTGCACAAAATTCTTTTAAATTTTGTTTGTAGAAAACTGTTTTCTTTTAAATTTATTGCCCTCTATTATGTAGTAGCCAAACGACCACATCAAAATATCTGATTTGGAGACAGGCTTTTAAAGCCTGTCTCCTTTTGCTACCTACAATTTTATACATGTAACGAGGCTTCTGTTGCGTAGCTAGATATTCTGTGCTATTAGTAAGAAAAAAAGCACATAAAATTATAAAAATTACAGAATTTCTAGAAAGTTTTATGTGCTCTCAGAATATTAACCCATTAAGGCATTGAATTCTTTTTTTTAAGCAAATCAATTTTATGAATCCCTGTTTTTAAAAGTGGGAATAATGTACATTTTTTACATAAATGACAGGAATTATAGTAACTTTCCTTCTTTCACCATCGATTTTTGTCGTTATTTTGAGGAAGGCGATTGGTATGCGAGGTGCGCCGAAACGCAGACACGCATACACGGGCGTAATCCAATTTGCAATCAACAGACAATTGATTCGAACGATATACCGTACGTTCCGGTGCTCGGTCCTTCGGAGCGCGCTTTGATTATTTGCCTATTTGTGCATAGCGAGCCCAAATCCGCAGCCCAAACAATGCGACCGTAGCCAAAATTTGCGGCAAAGTCGGCAGACGAACGACGTATGTACGATTTTCGGGGAGGGGGGTAAAAGTAGACTTGTGTCGGGGGGCTGCTGTGCCGTGGCATGCCTCTACGTGACGCGACTGCCGATCGCGGACACGTCCAAGTCTTAATCTTGCATCGCGGGTGCGGAGTACAAATGCCCGCCGCCCTTTCCAGGGCCGTATTTCTTGGCACGGACCAAAGACTTTGCCAGAAAAATCAATTCTTAAGGCCGCATTATATTCAACATTATTTTTATACAACAGACAGTCATGAAAATCGCCAATTTTCATGACTAGATATAAAGGGAAAGAAGTCTAGTAGTTATATTTTTCAGGCCCGTTAGAAAAATAGTAAACATTACCAGAAAATTCTGAAAATTGGCTTGGTGAGAAAATAATTTTTTTGGGCTCTTGTATTTCAGCTAATTTTTCATGTATGTTAAAACATCCACTATATCTATTAATGTTCTGGTAGGACGACAATGGCCTATACTTTCTTATTCTACACCTTTTAATTAGTAAATAACAGCAGTTTTAACAAAATCGGTGATCGATAATGAAATCGCCTATTTTCATGAACTAAAAAGTAGAAAAAATGCACATTTTTAACTATTTTTCAAATTCTTTAAAAAATAGTAAACATAGTCATAAAAATATGAAAATTTCACCATTTGTAGAAAATTTTATGTAGATTCAGAATATATACACCTTTAAAGGCTTAGATACCTTGGTTATGTGAGAAAATTAATTTTTTGAATCCTTGTTTTTGGGCTATTTTTGATGATGGTTAAAACGTCTCCTACATCCACTACTGTTCTCGTAAGACTACAATGGTCTACATTTTCTTATTCTACACCTTTTAATTATATTTAATATTATTAGTAAATAACAGCAATTTTAACAAAATCAGTGACATGAAGAAATTTTTGGCTATTTTTTACACATTTTCAAAGGGCTTAGAAAAATAGTAATCATAGTCATAAAATTATGAAAATTTTAGAATTTGTAGGAAATTTTATGTAGATTCAGAGTATATGTTTTGTAGGCACCTTTGTAGGCTAAGGTACCTTGGTTTTATGAGAAAATTAATTTTTTGAACCCTTGATTTTGAGCTATTTTTGATAATGGTTAAAACGTTCCCTATGGCCATTCCTGTTCTCGTAAGACTACAATGGCCTATATTTTCTTATTCTACACCTTTTAGTTAGTTAATAACAGCAATTTTAACAAAATCAGTGACATGACGAAAATCGCCAATTTTCATGACTATTTATGTGTATGGTAAAAAGCCGAAAAAATGTCCATTTTTTGGCTATTTTTTACACATTTTCAAAGACCTTAGAAAGATAGTAATCATAGCCATGAAATTATAAAAATTTCAGCAGTTATAGGAAATTTTATGTAGATTTAAAATATATACACCTTTGGGGGCTTAGCTACTTGGCTTTGTGAAAAAAAAATTTTTTTTGGACTCTTGTTTTTCGGCTATTTTTGATGAAGGTAATGTCCTCTATATCTATTGATGGTTCTCGTAGGACAACAATGGCCTATATTTTCTTATTCTGTGCCTTTTAATTAACATGAGTATGTAAATAACATGAGTTTTAGAAAAACCGGTGGCATGACGAAAATCGATACTTTTCATGAGTTTTCAAAAAGTCGAAAAATACCCTTTTTATACCCATACCACTGGTTTTTGAACCAAGAATTGTTGAATTTTTTCTCTTCTTTTTTTTTTGTTGTTGTAAGAAGTTACTAGAAAATAAATCGGCAAGATTTTCATTACGGTGGTGATCCTTATGGGGTGTTTCCTACACATCTAAAAAAACGAATGCTTTCTTCTTTCTCCTGATATTATAAACGTCACGTTTATTTCAGCAGTATTTTTTTATAAATTGATGCGTTCTATCAACAACATCGATATCATTTATCATAGTTCTTTTTCATTTGGTTCTCCGCCGATAAAATTCTGATGTAGTAAAGAGAAAAAAGGGTCACCCTGTAGCCGGCAAGGGAGCATTTTAAGTCGGCCATCTCAATACGACTGCTGCTCGTAAAGCTTAGTAATTTATAAACATGCGGCAGTATAAGTCGGTCGAAACAGTCGAGCGGCCCTGATGACCGTCTTTCCTGCCTGCCACTCCAGGAATTTGAACGTTCCCGAGGGATCGCGCCGGGACTGACCAGGCGCCGACTGGACGTTCGCTCGTCAAAAAGTCGGCGAATATTTTAAGTCCGCCTGAAATTTTCATGAAGCAGTCGTGAGAGCCGACAGTAAACTAGGAAATTGCCTTCATCGGACAAGAAAAAAAACTTATCCAGATGAGACAGAATTACTAGACGTTACAAAATAAATAGCAGCGTTTTTAGCAAAATCGGTGGCATGGCGAAAATCGCCACTTTTCAAGACTAAAAAAGTCGAAAAAATGCCCTTTTGGCTATTTTTTGCTTTCAAAGGCTTTGAATGTAAACTTTCCTAACCAAAGTACCTAGGCTTTGTCAGAAAATTAATTTGTTGGACTCTTGTTTTTGAGCTATTTAAGGTTTAAACGCCCCTTACATCCATTACTGTAATCTGTAAGACTAAAACGGTCTATGTTTTCTTATTATATGCCTTTTAATTAGTAAATAACAGCATTTTAACAAAATCGGTAACATGACGAAAATCGACAATTTTCATGAGTATTAGCACATATTATACAGATTATAAACTTATCGTCAAAAGCATTGTTTTTCGTGGTTCCAATTTTCGGAGTCGCGCACAAGTTAGACTACTAGTTTGCGCACATAGCACGCCCACTTATGGCTTCTAAAATTGCCAGTTGTGGCCCAGTTATTACGCTGTTTAAACTCGAGTTTATTTTGGCGCCCAGGAAATTTTACTCGTCTGTTCATCGTCATAAAAAACAATTTTTGTACCACGAATTAGGGACAAGATTTTTATCTGTATACATAATATAGTATACCTAATCTGTGGTATTAGTATGGAAAAATGTTGAAAAATTGACTATTTTTTGGCTTTTTTCCACATCCACACTATAAAATTTCACCGTTTGTAGAAAATTTTATGCAGATTCAGAATATCAGAACCTTTGAAGGCTTATTTCTTGGTTTTGTGGGAAACTTAATAAAATTCTTCGGACCCTTGTTTTCAGCTATTTTTGATGAAGGTTAAAATGTCTCCTACATCCATTACTGTTCTCGAAAGGCTACAATAGCCTATATTTTCTTACTCTACACCTTTTTATTAGTAAATAATAGCAGTTTTACCAAAATCGGTGACATGACGAAAATTGACAATTTTCATGACTATAATATGTACGGAAAAAAGTCGAAAAAATGCCCATTTTTGATTATTTTTTACATATTTTCAAAGGTCTTTTTCAAAAATTTCACCGTTTGTAGAAAATTTTATGTAGATTCAGAATATATACACCTTTGAATCTTTGAAGGATTAGATATCTTGCTTTTGTGGAAACATTATTTGTTTGGACCCTTGTTAATAAATAACATTACAGACAAGCTTATGAATACTAGGTGAATATTTCAAAAGAACTAATTGCTGGTTATTTCTATGGAATTGGGCTCTTTATATTTATGACACTTAACGGTATGTTCGTAAATTTGGTCACATTAGATCCGCCAGTTTCAAAAACAATTGAAATAGTTTCTGTTTTACGTGCGCCGAATTTATAACTAATTCCACGCTCGACATAAAGTTATTTCAATACAAAATAGGATGAATGAGGACCGCTTCGTTCTTTTATTGACCCAAGGTGCAATTTGTCAGGGGGCAATATTTCAAGACTTTTTCTTCTCATACTAACACCATTTGGAACAAATCTGTACAGACTGGTCCCTGGCTAACTTCTTATTTTATGAATTTCACTAATACGGGAAATTCCACTGATTCTATTTTTTATTTTCAGAAAATCCTAGATCAGATTAAAGCCCAATCCGGAAAACTCTCATCGTTGAATGCAGTCGTCCATAGATTCACATTAGAAAATCAGGATTTCGACGACTTTAGCAAATGCACTTTGAAAGCCGAGGTTTCAGAGCTGTACGAGCTTTTCGATAATGCTAAATCAAGGTAAGGATCTAGTCTAAATGATACGGAAAAAAGTAAAAACGTGGTGGTTAATTTTTTTTTGTTAAACGAATTAATAAAGATTGAAAAGGATCTCTAGTAAATCTATTGTAGCGTGATGTGAAAGGAATAATAGATAAGTTTCTATTAATGTACACTATACGGCGTATTTATTTTCATCGCGGTTACATTTGGAATAAACATTACATAAAATTACATTGTAAAATAGATTTGAGAAGTTTTAAAACTCTAAACACGTCAGTTTTGGGTGCAGCTGCCGTCATACAGTCGGAGTAATGGAAAGATGCCCCCGCAGAATACTAATTGTAAAATTGTTTTATTGCTTTGTGTATGTCTGCCTGCTTCCTCATTTACATAAAGCAGACCTATAATGCTTCGGTTTGGAAATTTTGTTACGTACAGTCCTTTCTCACGTCACACTTTTACGACTTTAATCAAATTGTCCTTTTTGTGCCCTTAAAATTTACCAAACTTTGACAAATTTCGAAAAAACACGTAGTTTTTCACATAAACATTGAATATTTTGGCCTAAAGAAGTTTTACTTTCAAAACTCAACCTCTCTTCGTTACTAAGCTCAATATTAATTGAACTTATATATGGTGTTGAAAAATAAAAAACGTGTTATCTACTTTGATATGCCAAATGCGATCGCATGAATGAATATAACGGCAAACTGGAATCATTTTCCGATGGTTATTCAATTAAGTATTCTCACGATTCGGGACGTGTCTAGTAAAGTAAGACATCTAAAGTACGTTGGCCAGATAGTACGATGGTGATATGTAGGTACGACGCGTAAACTACTATTAGTATTCAACATGTCCGCCTTTCCATGAGACCACGGCGCAAATAAATACGATACTAACTATATTTCCTCTGTTAAAAATACAGCTTTCTCCAAACACGTCCATTTTTCTTTTGCAGAACTTCAAACAAACTGAGCGAAATCGAAAATCTTTTGCCGGCATGGAAGATGTTGGAGAGTCGGTTGGAGCAACTGCAAAAGGACTTGATGGAAGACGGAAAGACGATACATTTGTTAGATTCGGTACTGACCAATGGCCAGTTTACTGATCAAACAGCAACCTGCGTCCGTGATGTAGCCAAGGTGTTGTCGGAGTCTACGTCTCATCAGGTAAAGATTACTTGCATGCCATTCGTCTGATTTCAGGTTCATTCGTATGAGTATACACAAGTTAAGTAGTTACTTTAATTCATTCATTACTGAGCAGGCTACCAAGCTACTGACTATAAGACTGAACAACAGACTAACTTCGAGACTGTCTGACTAACTGAAAAACTCAAGACTGACTATAAAAAGAGTATCTTCTGTATACTCTTTTATATCGATCATATTATGTCATCGCTGGAAGTTGTAGATGTAGATTGTATGGAATGGGGGAAGTGAATCACCACGACCTCACAGATCTATTGTGTCCCTCTTTCTTGAGTTGTATCTCATCATACAGTTTCAGGGCGTTGACAAAAGCCAGTATTTGAGACGGTTTAGTTCTCCATCTCCAATATTCCCCTAGTGAGGATGTAGTTATGGCTACTGCTTACACTTTCCTCACTATAAGTAAAATATTGGAAGAAGAATCAAGCTTCTTACATCAAAAAGATCACAGAAAGATATTGACAACATTGACATTTGAAAATATAAATGGCCTGGATGTAAGTCTTTTTTTAGGTCACAAGTGCCTCTCACATACGTCAGAATTTATTATTAAATCCATCTTGTTCAGAATATGCAATATTTTATTGAAGAACTATGCAAAAAAAGGAATGACGTCTTTACCAAAAATACAATGCTCTATGTAAAGAGAAAGAGTAAAGAAAACTAAGCTAAGCGTAAGTTTTACTTACAAACCCTCAAAAAGGTATTTAGTTTTTTTTTCTATATAAAATGTTGAAACATATATTATATTTTTTATTTATCCTCAGCTATTATAGTTTAAATTTATTCCCATTTGTGTAATGCTGCAAAACATAGAAAAAATATTCCATATTTTTTGACCCAAGCCAGTGTAGTTTATAATTCCAAGAGCATTTATCAAGGCTTTTACTAAGACAAGTAACTTCCTATACTGTCCATAATAGTATATATTTATCAAACGTTCAGTACATTCTAAACTATGGTAGGTAAGTGTTTGCAATTGAATATTTAGTTTATATTGCTATTTTCTGTCATATATTTCTGGTTATTTCTTTTTCCGATGATTTTGAACACCCTATATATGCTACCTCAAGTTTGAATATTTTAACACTACCTATTTTCTTAGAAAGCAGACCATTTTTTAAAAAGTAACTAACTGATGTTTTCATAAAAGTAATAATACAAAAAATTCCATACTTATGTGGAGAACTTTAGACTCCCTGTATAATAAAAAATTAGTGAAATATTACGTAATCTAACCAGACATTTGTGTGAAAAATGTCTATTTGGAAATAAAACAGGTTTTAAAATACGCGCCAAATAAAGCACTTCTATCTCCGCCATATTGGAAAAGGTTGAATGGCCTTGTGTGGAGGTGGTGGTGGGTCAGCATGGTGGCCCGGCCGCGGCCGTGTTGCCGCTTTCAACATGCCAGGTGTGACGTATTAAAAATAAAGTGCGGATTTTTATTCTGGGCTTTTTTGTTTTTATTTATTTTCTTAAGAACGACTTCAAATTTTTCGAAAGTGAGATAGCAGAAAATTCTAGAATTAATTGCTTTATTCAATTATGCTAATTCCAAAATATAGTGAAAGAGCCCATTACCAACAGATTCAGGCTGAGGCGACAAATGCCAAATTCTAGAATTAATTGCTTTATTCAATTATGCTAATTCCAAAATATAGTGAAAAAGCCCATTACCAACAGATTCAGGCTGAGGCGACAAATGCCATATCCAAACTACTTCCATGACTTCCATTTAAAGTACTTAAAAAATCTACTAATTTTTTTATTGATATAAGACAATTTTAACAGTTGCTATGGAAAAAACAATATTAAGTTATATTTTAATTGTTATAATATTATAATTAATACTGTGTTTATTTTAAAACAAAACAACTTTTGGACGGTCTCAGCTGTATAGTATATTGTAAATATTTTTTCCGAAATTGATATAAAGCCAAGAGGGTGTTTTATTTTGACCCTGGACAATATTTTGGATAAGGCAGCTTCGGTGTAAATGGATAGAAACTAAATAAAAATAAAAGGAATTTTAAGAAGTTTTCGTGAAGGGAGAGTTAAGCAAAGGCCGAGAAAGGGAATCAAGTCCGGCAGTCCGGTATCTGGCAAACGTAATGCCAGCCGCCATTTCCGGATCGTTAATCGCGACCGGACTTGAGCTTTCGGGTCACGTAGCGCCGACTGTTCCACGGAATCAGCGTAAAAATACAAATTTAATATCAGGATGGCAGAGGTTCGAGCTGCTAGGGCCAGGCCAAACGCCCGAGGAGCATAGTCAGATTATTACCGGCTATTTTCGCTAGAGTCTCCAGGCAAACTAATATTTATGTACTCTCTCCCTATAGCCCTTGGGACGGAGCCTCTACTATCTAGGTCGAAGGACAAGGATGAATAAAATAGGACTTTTGTAAGGTGACGTCCAGTTACAACGCTATATATTATATGGAAGAACGTTTTTCTTCTCAAACTTTCTAAATCTTCTAAATCTGGCTCGAGTCTCTACATTAAGGTGAAACAAAAAAAATATATTTTTTCTTTTTAGATTTTTTAGAAAATTTTGGTAAAATTTGAGCTCTTCATTTCTTAATCTTATCAGACAATCTTTGAAGAATGTTCAATTTCCTACAAGAATATGTATAGATTTTTACAATACGCTGATTCGTTAGAACGCAACAAAATTCCAAAAACAGAAATACAGGGTGAGTCTTAAATAAGTGCAAATGTTTTTAGGGGTAGTAGTATATTTCGACCCCAGAAACACGATCATGATTTTTTTCGCCAAAAAAAAATTGAAAATTTGAAATTTGGAATATTTTGATTTTTTTTGGAATTTTCTCTAGTTTTTAGTTAAAAAACATAATTTCTTGATAATATGGCAACATGGGGATTAGATTAAATTAACAAGAAAGAAACCCCAGAAAAGATCCAGTGGTTTTCAAAATTTAAACAAAAAATTATTTTTTTTTTGGAAATTTTCAAAGTAAAATAACTCGGTTATTTTGGACTTATTGGAAAAACAGTAAAGAGAAAATGGATTTCTTTTATTGAGATCTACCAGCACTGAAAATATTTGTACTTATTTAAGACTCACCCTGTATATTGTGTTTGGTGCACCCGCTATCTACATTTACTGTAATAGTATTTGCAACGGTCTAAAACAACTGAAAATATATTTTTTGTACGTAAAATGTAATATGTTAGTAATTTTAGGGGAGTGTCCGGGAGAAACTCGAGTATTTTCGGGAATCTTGCCTTAAAACTGTCGAAATATGTATCTTTTTTTGAAAACACGGTATATCGACTAGACTAAACCTGGCAACGTCGCCGTGGAAGTGGGATTCACGGGAATGAAGTGTTCGACGCCACGGTAATGAAAAGCCTCGTGGAGCATACTAAACAGGATCGGCCTGATTGGCAAAAGGTTCAGCTTTTCGACTTGCCGCTTCTTCCTACTTGTTTTACACGGCGCTCGCAATAACTATAGTTCATCCAAAAAGAACTTAAACGATCTCTGATTTATCTCTATCCAAAATATTATTAAATATTTATATATTTATTCTTCATTTTAATTTATCGAATACCCAAACTCCAGCATCTCTTGTTGTTCCAGGGCTACCCTCTTCCAGAATTATTTACCGAAGGGTCCTTTTCTGACAGCGGGATCTCAGATGAAGGTTCAGAGCACGAAATTGGCGAGAGGCAAGGAAGATTGGCCGCCATCAGGAGGTTGGTCAGGCAATTGGAGGTTGGACTGTCACCCAATTGCAAGGCTAGACTTATTATGAGAGAAAAACTGTCCGCGGCTGAGGAAGAATTGAAAGCTCTTCAAGTGCGGTGTCGGAATTTGATAGTGAGGACTGCGGCATGTTCTCATCCAGTTTTAGAAAGAATAAGGTAGGACACTACATCATATTTATTATTATTCTCTTTATGCACAGTATTATTTTTTTATCTTTTAAAAGCACGGTAAATAAACAGAAATCAATGTTTTAATTGTAACTTCATAAACTTTATGAAAAATGACGCGTTGTCTCGAGCGTTTCTTTTACAGCCTCCTTAAGCATCATCTTTGGAATAAATTACTCCTTGTGGAGAGTTTAATTAATTATTTTTATGCAGAATTATAATTGCTGCGTTATTTGGTAAACTTGAAAACACAGCGGAGATGATTAATATTTTAAATTAATTACCATTTTATTACGCTGTTGCGTCGCATCTCTGAACTCTTGAGTTAAAATTTGGAAAGTTTGGAGGATTTTGCGCAGCAAATTGTCTCCAACTGTTTTTTTTTGGTAAAAAATACTATAATCTAGTTTACGAGAGGCGATCGTAAAGAATTTAATCATGAAATGCTTTCTGCAACAAAGTCTTTTTTAAAAGTGAGACTTCAGCACTTACTATATAAACTGAAGCCCATAAAAATTTAAAGTGTAATCAATGTTAACTCAAATACTTTCGCCAACATTGTAGCTTTCATCAATTCGATTCCATTTAATATTTCGTCATTGGATTCTGAAATTTTCGATAAAATTCTTACAAATAAAAACCAGAAGATGGTTGTACGGGCTTTCTTCGACTTACTGGTCATGTAGTTTGTCTGTAGTAAAATATATATTTTATTACGACGGGTGAAAGACATCCGGTAATAATCCATACGCGCCTTGAATGACAAACAATTATATAAATGACGCCTTTTGTCTTCTTCTTTCGAAACAAATAAAAATAAGAATTCCGTCATAGCATTTGCATGTGAATTCTTATTATGAGAGTTATCGATATTATATGTACATTTCTGTTTATAAGAATTGAATTTTATTTATATACCTTTGAACGTGTTCTGAATTCTTATGGTCTATCGTGAATTTTTATTAGCAAAAGATACTTTAAATATAAAATAAATGTGTTTTCTATTTAAATTAAACAAATTCAGTCATAATAATTTTTAAAACTTCGCCACTTTTAACTAGTAGGCTTTGGACCCCTTATTGATGATCTGCCCCTAATGGAACTCGAAAACATATTTTTCCAGCAAGACGAGGCACCGCCTCAAAACGCTGAAGTTATCAGCAAATTTTTGCAGCCAACTTCGAGAATAATTGAATAGCTAACCAAGATCCCAACCGTTGGCCGTCGAGAGGCTGCCGGACTTGCGGAAGAATAAATATTCTTATTTTTAAATTGCCCGCATAATCTAGACAAGCATTAGAAGTACTTAGCGATTATGCGAGGGTATCTTTCACCCCCACTGAGTTAATGAATTCCGCGAGAAATGTTCAAAAACGATCCCGTCTGTCTATGTTATTTTTATTAAATGTTATTTGTTGTTATTGTTGTTAAATGTGTTGCTGTTAAATATAGTTTAAATTGTTAAAAAAATCGGCATCTCTCATTGCAAATATTATTTTCGTTTTAATTGCGGCTCACAGCTAGAATTTTTTTTGCATTATTAGGCGCCGTTCAAAGCCTACTTATTCAAAATGGGTGAATTTTTAAAAACTCTATATCTCAAAAAGGAATCGAGCAAAATATCAAGTATGCTATATTTTTAGAAAGGTAATTTTAAATTCTTTTCAATGAATTAAAAATATACAGGGTGTCCAATATAAAAAAATACATTTTCTGTTGATAATTCTTAAATTATTAGTTTTAAAAAAAATATACTTAAACCATTAAATTCTACGCAAAAATGTGCTTTGTAAATGTATTCACAAAAATACAAAATTTTCGATAACAAAAAAGTTACAGCGATTGTTAAAAATGCACATTTTTGAACGCCATCATGTTTTTGCTAAAAATTGAGCTACTGACACCGATATTAGTTTTCGTCTATCTCCTATTACAGAAAAGGTCCATTTTGACCCACCCTGTACATTGAACTTAAAATACATGAAACATTTTAAGACGTCCGTTTTTTATGTCATTTTATATCGGGTAGAAAGTCCTCTGTCCATCTTCCTACGGACTTCTCCCCGTATAAATTTCTCTTGTCACGTCGCTATTTTCTCTTTTCCTTGTTCCAGCCAAAAAGAAAAGTCACCAGGGGACAAATCGACCAAGCCGGATGCAGACGGTGACGATCCAGGAAGCGATCCAGAGAAGGCAAGGTGGTTTAAACGGCTGTTCAAGGCGTCTGTCGCTTTTCAGCTCGTCATCTTGACTTTTATCTGCTTGAGCTGCCTGTACGAGCCCCAGTGTTGCGATTACATGAATAATTATTCCTGGTCTGTGAGTCCCAAGTTGCACTACGAGGGTACGCCACCTATATAAGTTATTTTCTAAGCCCTACCCTTAATACGTATTGCGATCAAACATAAATCAAATCAATCACACCCTGGAATCACAATTCGTTTATTTGTTAATTAAAAAAAACAGACCTTTTTTATTTCGTCAAAAAAGTCCTATGCGTATTTAGTCACTTGTAATTAGTGTTATCAGGTAGTAATTATTAATTTTGAAGTTTAACTTGATATAATGTCATTTTAACAGAACTTCAACGGTTTTTGTAGACGTATCTGTTGAAAAAAACTAAAGAGTTCTTAAATAGTTATATTTAGATATTTTAAATATTTTTTTCTTTGTTCTTTGTTTTTTTTTGCTGGAAGAATTTTGCTGGATGTCGCTGGAAGAGCATTTTTTTGCCCGTTAGGGAAATTTTTTATTAGTAAATCACTGCTGACAAGTTGATGTCTCCGTTGGATTAACCAAACAACAAAATAATTTTATATTTTCTAGATTTTCTTACTGTATAAGTGGCAAAATACCCATAGGACTTATATTCTGAAATTCAAATGTGATTTCATGGCCTGTTGGATGATATTTATTTCTGATCCCACGGTACTTTTAAGTATGTATATATTACTTAGTTCAGTACTTAAAGAGCCGTTTTTCGGTTATATTGGCAGGAAAATAATTTTGAATTTCGCTTAAATCAAGTAGTAATGAAGCATGAATTAAGTGTTAAGTCTTAATCTTATTGCAAATTATTTTTCATTAATTAAAACTTCATTTAAATTCAGTAAAAAAATTATCGATTTCTTTTAAAAAATCTAAGAACGCTTAATTCAAATTTGTATATAAAATCTTGGTGCTAATCAAAAAAAAAGTTGGTCTACTTGCCCAGTGAAGAGATAGTTATATTTTCCTTACCTAGTTACTATTTTGTATAGAGTGAGATAATATTAGTATTAGCTATATTCTAAAACAAATTCTTAGGGTTTTTTGCTGCCATAGTTCCAGTTTTTCAACTGCCATTTTTTTAAAATTAGATCTCAAAATGAAGTTCGCTCAAATTTTGAACTTTTGATCTTTTGAAAAGAGGTAAAACAGCCAATCAGATTATAATCTTTTTAATGATGATTTTAAAAACGGGTTTATTACATTTTTTATATATTGCTTACAATAGTATTTTTTAAAACAAGAAAAATATACTTATAAAATTAATGTAGCATATTGCTATTGAACTGTATATATCTATTTAATATTTTTTAGAAAAAGTGTAAGTAGTAAATATTTGTAAGTTCCTCAAATATTTTTTAATAGTACAAGTATGGTTTTAATACCATGGTATGCGTCCAGTAGTATTTTTTTAATGGACCAGTACATAAAATAGTATCATTTGGAATGCAGTTAAGCATTCCAAACACATTAACACATTATTTTTATTTATTGCTGTTTTTTTTTTGTTGTTTTGTTATTTTTATAGTTTTTAAATATTCCAACTCCTAAACTTGACGAATTGAAATAATTCACTAGAAATATTCGTCAGTTTTTTTGAATAAAAAATAATACTTGTGTTTTACGGAGGTAATTCCGAAAGTAATGGTACAAGAGAAACTTTTTAAAAAGTTTGTACGTTTGACGATGATAGCGACAGAAAAGAAATACAAAGACGGCGTCTTTGGTCAGTGCTTTTTGATAAAAAAAAATCAGCCCAGCAAAGACTATAAGTGACCGAATGATCTTTAATATATATTTTTTAAAACGAAAGATCCACGTAGAGTCTTTGATGGAGCTTGACCAGACTGACTAATAAAGGAAAAAGCACTTAATTAACCTTGTAATGGCAACACGGGAACGATTTGACACTTGAACATGACAGATCTTGCGAAAAGCACACTGGCTGCTTTCGAAGATCTGCAAGGATCATGACTTAACCGGTTTGCTGGAGCTGAAAGCTCTTTAGCTTCGCAAACCGTTAACGTTAATATAAGATTTATTAAGTTATAAGGTATTTGCCAAGATGCAGTAATGGTTTAGTGCGTAATATTAACATAATTTTTTATTTAATCCAGTCAGTCCTTATTTTAAAATCGCATTTATATATTAAGCTGCATGTTTTTGGCGGTTTGGATAAGCGTAATAACATCGACGTTTCGTGTGTGTGTTCCACGTTTGGCATCATCATTTTTATATAAATATAAATAAAACTTATTAACTTATGTGCGTCGACGTTATTATAAAATAATTATTACTATGTTATCAATTAAGGCTGTAAAGTCAGAACAGTGCAATGACTTATCTGAAAGACTTTTATATTACTTTTGTTTTTATACCTCAAAAAAAAAAATGTTTTGCATTGTTCTGATGTAACGGCAGTAAATGTAAAACGTAGTTTTTAGACATGAGTGAGTTTTTTAATATTTTTTTTTTAATTTACAACCAAGTTAAAGTAATATACCTACTTAATTTACGTATATTTTTTAGGGTCTATTATTGGCCAAAGTTAATTAAATATATTCCAACTTCCATATTGTTTAATGTGTTCATCGTTACTTTAACTTGTCTAATGAAAGAAAGATCTTCACGTTTTTAGAATTTTTTTATTACAACGAACCAAGCTTAGTGATTTATAAAAACTAAGCCAGTATCTGTTATTTTTTCCTTTTTATATTTTTATTTACGTCACAAGAAAACAAAATCGAGAGTGCCTTGAGAAGTAACTAACGCTGTTTGGCCCGAAATATTGATTATAAGTACATTTTCATTTCCGTAGGGCATTATTTTTAATTTCCTTTCCACTTAATAGTTCAGTTAGTAATAACTAGAGTGTTACTGAGCGAATTAAGCAACTTATTTTATCGATTATGTTAATTAAGGAGCTTGTTTAAAAAAAGGAATGATTTCAAAAATAGTGTGTGTTGTCTAATAACAAAGGCTAACGATAATGGCATGATAGGCCTGATTCGTTATTTTTTTATAACAAATTGCGGTTCTGCTGAAGTTATGTGGAGTAAATAAATTAATAAAGGATTTTGGTTTTTCAAATACTGTGTTTTATTTAGTATTCCTCAATTTTCACTTAGGTAACCATTCTACTGATCCACCGTTGACACGCTTCTTCCAACATGTCTACCGAGAACTGCTTAACATATCTACCGAATTTGTATTCATTGTTACCTTAGATCATCAATTAAATGCACTCTGTATGCATTTAAATGCATGTGAAACGCAACTAACTACTTTTGCCAGTCCGTTAAGTTACACCCAAACATATACAGGGTCCAGCAATAGTGCGTCGGACATCTGTAGCACCTATAATAAAAACTTAGGTACCCTGTATATTATTGTATTTTTGATCACTTTACATAATCCTAAAATATTATTAAATTTGTTTCGATTGTTTAAGAGATAATAATAAATAAATAAAAACATTTTTTTCAGCCTTTTAAAAAAAAACATTGTTAAAAATACAAGAAATGTCCTGAAATCAAAACTATACTAGGTAATTATTATAATTGGTCTGTACTTTCTTTGCTATAAATATCATAATCTTAAACCATACAGGGTGTTCAAAATTATATGCCAAAGTTTCTAAAATATAAAATTTTAAAAAGTTCCTCGTTTTTCAAATGAACATTTTTTGTATTTAAAATTGGTTTGTATTTTAAAAAAGTTTAGCATAAAATTTTGAACACCCTGTATTGTTTAAGACTACTATATATATAGCAAAGCACCTGTAGAAGTTAAAATATTTTCCTGAAATACGTCCTCATACATACTTTAAGTGTGCACTTAAACAAAACTATAAGTTTTTTATTATAGGAGCTACAGATGCCCGATCCATTATTGTCGGACTCTGTACACTATTACCAGAGGCGGACCTGTCCTTTTTTTATAGACCCCAGTATGTAATATAATAAGTGAGATCTGTCCCTGTCCATTACATAGGGGTAGTCTTAAATAAGTGCATATATTTTCAATGCTGTTAGATCTCGATAGAAGCAGTGCCGGACTTAGTCCTAGGCCAACTAGGCCCGGTGATTTATCTACTTAAGTATTGACGACATTACCGATAAGTCCAGACATTTAATAACCTGTTATCCAAATGATTTAGATGAGTCAATGCCTAATGAATTAATACATTTTCGTGAATTTATAAAATGCATCAAAAGTCAGCAAAACCATCTGCTAGAGAGCTTCTTAAAGTAATTTATGAAAAAAACGCTCAAGATCTGTTTCCAAATACTTTCATAGCATTAAGAATCTTCACATGTTTATTACTAACTGTTCTGCTGAACGCTGGTTTTCTGCATTGAAACGTATTAAAACTTATTTACGGTCCACTATGGAAACAGAACGTCTAAATCATTTGGCAGTTTTACATATTGAGTCCGACCTTTTAAAAACTATCAATTACGATGAAGTAATTGATAATTTTGCGAACAAAAAAGTACGTAGGAAACCTTTATAGGCATATAAGCAAACCTTATAGTTTTGTTGTTCGTTTGTTGTCATTTTATATGAATATTTTAATATTTATTTTATGTTCTGTGTTGATCTGTTCTGTCGGTCTATTCTGTTGTTGGTCCTGTATTCAAAGAAATGTTTTTTATATCCGTAATTTTTTTAATTAAAAAAAATGTTAAGGGGCGGCAACTTCGTTAAGTCCGGCCCTGGATAGAAGAAACATATTTTCTATTTACCGTTTTTCAAATAACAAAAAAATACACTTGTTTAAGATTCACTCTGTATAATGACAACATGAGAAAAAATAAATCCTGTCTCTTAATTTAATTTTTATATAGAAAATCCATAAATAACCTAAAACGAAAATAAAAATTATTATATTATTACGATATAATAATAAAACAAATAAGCAAAATATCTAAAATGTTATCATCTATTAAATTATAGTGGCGATTCCTCTAAATTATTACAACCTAGAACAACCCCCAACGAAACGGTAGGTAACGAAATAATAGAAAAAGCTGACGTTTGTCTGTCTCTGCCCCTTTTTTCCGTAAGGGTAAAATCATCACGAGAGGTAATAGGGGACCGTCGGGTCAAAGGGACGCCCCATGAATACTAATCTGATACGTACGTGTCACACAAGCTCGCATGGAACTACTGGCGGTTCTGTTCTCGGTACCGAGGTACGGCCGTGTGTCACTGCCACCGGAAGTCCAATCTAACGATGGCCCATCGAATTTACATTTTTATGTGCCGCCATCTTGGTTTTTACGGCGAAGAAAGGTCCTCGAGATAGTCGAGGATCCAACGAATAACAATTATATTACCTCTTGTGTACCTACGTCTTAAAAAAATACAAAAATACACTCAGATGCAAAAAAACGCAACAGAGAAATTTTTTGGTCAAATTTAAAGTGTTATATTTTTGTTATTTTTAGCCCTATTTTCATGATTTTTTAGCAAGTTGTATATAATTATATCAAATTTAATTCGTAAACTCAGCTTTTTATAAACTTTAGTATTTGGCATATTCTACAGGGTTAATCGAGGGGATGTTTTTTAGCAGTGGCGTCGCCAGAGGGGGGCAGGGTGGGCCATGGCCCACCCTGGATTAGCTTGGGCCCACTAATGGCCCACCCGCGCAATGTCCAGAAAATATAATCAACAACTATGATATGGTAAATTATCTGGTCAACCAGAATAAAACCTGGTCCCAGTGCTGGCCCAAAAAAAGTTTCTTTTCCCCCCCCTGGAAAAAAATATCTGGCGACGCCAATGTTTTTTAGCCTAACTTTAAAACACCCTGTGCAGTAATTTCGTCTGTAAATTTTCCTAATTTTAAGGTCAGAACCATGACTCCTGAGCATTTTGTTTTTTGATTCATATCAATACAAGCTTTGATTATTTTTTAAGAGCGAAATGAACTCAGAACGATCAATTTGCAATTTTTTAAATTATCTTTACTTTTTCATGTAATTTTTTAATATAACGAGATGGTTTTGATGACTATTGTCGTAACGTCATATTACACTGCATTGAATACTAAATTTAAAAAAAAAACGTTAAAGACTAACGATACAGATTCCCGGTTTTAATAAACATTAATAACGATAACAGAACTAACAATATTAAAGAAAACATAATGAAACAATCAAGAACACAAACAGAAAAAAAAACTGTAAAATATACCCACACTTTGTATTGCCACCCTTGGCTGCTTGTATACGTCCGTTCACAGAAAAAAATAACTTGGCGTAATTAAATAAGATTTATTATCTGATGAGTAATTTATTGAAGTATATGTGTATTTTTTTGGATTCAGATAAAGCAGTAGTCAAATTTACAAGATACATTATACCAATTATACACAAGAATAATTTTTTTCTTCTAACACAATATTTTCTCGCTCAAATTAAACTTTATTTGAATTAGATTATACAACTTACTAATTATTATAAACACATAAATCGTTTGTTTATGTTTAATAATTTTAATAGTGTAGTTTAACGAAATAGGACCTAATTACTTTTAAAACAAGAGTTGTTTAGTACTATTTTCTTTTTTATGTAGGCCTGACAGAAAACTTTTTTATTTGACTCAAATTTATTTTATACCGTTTGTGTTTCAACACAATGTTTTATTAAAGTAAGACATTATTTTGTTTAAAACAATCAAAAAACTTGTAGACGAGCGTTTGTGAAATTATTTAACTTAAATAAGTTTTAAAGTACGCTAGCAATCTAAAAAACATAACTTATGTGTCCGAGAAAATAATTTGTTATATTAACAAATTAATGTTTGAATTAGACAAGGTTCTTAGCTACCCCAGATAGTGATACGGAATAATAGAGACTATTTATTTTTACGCTTAACAAAAAATATAATTAAAACAGATCGTAACTTCTTTCAGCCCTTTCGTCAAGATTTTAGGTACTGCGTCATTTATTTCCACCTAACCATCGCATAGCAGCGTTCGCATCGTCTTAAATGTTTAGTTAATTTTGTGAAGAAATTCTCGATTGTTTTACCAAAATATATATATATTACAATATATAGAAACAACCAGTCAAGTATTTAGACTTTGATTTTACTGTGTCAAATGTGCAATTAGGTAATAATGGATGAAAAACAAGATTATTGATTGAGTGAGATCTCGAAGAAATCATGAACGATTTTGTGGGTAAGTAATTTCCAATTTTATTCAGACAATTATTATAATTTTAAGACTAATGCAACATAAAACGATAAATGCAAAATTCATGAATTCTATCTTTTGGTAAATTTAAAGGCAGGTTTATACAACATATCAATGGTTCTAATAATAAGAACATTTATAAACATAATAGTTAAATCAATCATTTATTTATTTATACACCAATCATAATATTATCAATAGCCGCCCATACAGAAATTTTCATGTTTTTTAGATAAAATCATCCCTGAAATTACTGGAATAAATTTTCAGATAACTTTGTATAATAATATATGTATAATAGTAAATTATTTCCAGATGGAAAATTATTTATTTTATGGGAATTTATTCAAATAGAATATGCAATATCGCAACTTTTCTAAAGACAACGCAATAAGGAAACTACTAAACGATTTGACAGATGATATTTCTTCAGGTAATATTATCTATAAAGTAACAGAAGTATCCGAGATTCAATAATTTTGTATTTAATTTTTTAGGCGCTAGAGCTAGCATTGTAATGCAATTACTGGCTTATATTTTGCCAACAATAAGTATATGAAAGGAAAAATCAGCAGGACGGTGGCATGGCAGCTCCCTCGCTTAAAAGTTGCTGAAGGATAACCATAAACCCTGAATCTACATAAGAATTTTCTCTAAGTACGCATGTGTGCTTATCTACCCTAGCAAATTCCCTTTGTTGGTTTTGTAAAAAACTTTTCTAATGTAGGTGGTAAATTAGTTCCCTCACGTCAAGATATTATATACACCAGCACGTTTATTTTGTATTTGATAAAATAAAAGTATTTACTACAATATGCGATTTTTCTAAATTAGTACTTCTTCCTATGTACCTATTTTTTGATAAAACGTTTGTTTATCA